GTCTCAAGAATGGGTATGTGCGCGGCTGTCCTTGTTCGATCGAGTTTGCTGAAAAACAGAAAAAAACAAACTTTATGCGAGAGAGAGAACAAAGATGAAGAACGAATGTGATCAGGTCTCAACGCACACATGAAGCGAGGTTGTTTTTGAGACGTCTCAAAAACAACCTCGCTTCACACAGAAAAAACTGTCTGTGAGTGAGAGAACAAAGTTGAAGAACGAATGTGATCAGGTCTCAACGCATTTATGACCGCTTCTGTCTCTCACCTTATCCTTCTCATTGTTCCATAGGTAGTTGCCCATCACAGTGTGGGCAATCTGGTCCCTGCACACCGCACAGCACCCCACGGTACCACACCACATCGCACAGCACGGCACGGCACCAAGCAACACCACACCACAACACAGAGGGGGGGTTGGGTGGGGTTGGGGGGGGGGGTTAGCAGTTATGAGGGGTAGGTAGGAGGAGGGTGGTAAGATTTTCCAGATGTAGTGCAATGGAGGGTGGTGACAATACTGAATTGGGTAGTGGGGGGGTGTCTTTCACATTCTGTTCACCGCTCACCCTCTCACTGCCTCACCCCTCAACCCTAACCCCTCACCGCTCACCCACTCCCTAACCACCCCCTCTTCCACAGGGGGTTTTACAACCGTTCTCACTCACCTGTACTGCCAGCCGTGGGTTAAATTGTAGAATTCTCAAAAAACACCCACTCCCTCACCAACCCGTCTTCCACAGGGGGCTGATACAACCACTCTCACTCACCTGTACTCTCCGTCGTGGGTTGTTTTGTAGAATTCTCAAAAGTCCACCCCCTCCCTCACCACCCCCTCTTCCACTCCACAGGGGGCTGATACAACCACTCTCACTCACCTGTACTGTCCGTCGTGCTCCGCGTGTTGACTTTTGAGTCGACTCAAAAGTCCACCCGCTCCCTCACCAGCCCGTCTTCCACAGCGGGCTTTTACAACCACTCTCACTCACCTGTACTGTCCGTCGTGCTCCGCGTACCACTGCACGGCCTCGTCATATCCCCCTGCCATCTTCGGGTGCGCCGCACCCACTGCATCTCTGTACCCCCTCACAGCCCCCCGCAGCAGCAGCAGCAGCAGCGGCAGCTGAACCATGAAGTTGCCCGCATAGGCGCGCCCATCCCTCATATCCTCACCTGTATTTCCCACCATGCTCCGCCCACCACTGAACGGCCTCGTCATACCCCCCTGCCATCTTGAGGTGCGCTGCACCCACCACTTCCCTATACCCCCTCACGCCCCCCCGCGGCAGCAGCAGCGGCAGCTGAACCATAAAGTTGCCCGCATAGGCGCGCCCATCCCAGCCCACCCCAAATCCTCCCAACCCTTCCCAACAAATCTCAACCCTTGCGCCCACACCGCCTCACCTGTACTGCCCGCCATGCTCCGCCCACCATTGAACAGCCTCGTCATACCCCCCTGCCATCTTGGGATGTGCCGCACCCACCGCCCCTCTGTACCCACTCACAGCCCCCCGCGGCAGCAGCAGCGGCACCTGAACCATAAAGTTGCCCGCACACTCCCATCCCAATCCATCCGAATCCATCCCAATCCCCGAATCCATCCCAATCCATCCCAATCCCCCAATCCATCCCAATCCATCCCAATCCCCCAATCCATCCCAATCCATCCCAATCCCCCAATCCATCCTAGCCCCCACTCACCTGTACTGCCCGCCATGCTCTGCCCACCACTGCACGGCCTCGTCATATCCCCCTGCCATCTTGGGATGCGCCGCACCCACTGCATCTCTGTACCCCCTCACAGCCCCCCGCGGCAGCAGCAGCGGCAGCTGAACCATAAAGTTGCCCGCATAGGCGCGCCGGCCAAGGAGGAAATCAGTTGAGGGGCGGTGGTAGCCTTGGTCCTTGCTGCCTATCAGGTAGGGGCGGCCGACTGGAGATTGGTTTCCTTGGGATGGGTCCGACAGGTTGAAGAGCAGGAATGGTGTGACCTGGAGGCGGAAAGGAAAAGAGGCGGGGATGGGAGGGAGGGAGGGGTGGGGGGGGAGGGGAGGGAGGGAGGGGTGGGGGGGAGGGGAGGGAGGGAGGAGTGGGGGGAGGGGAGGGGAGGGAGGGGCAGGGGGGAGGGTGAGGGATCATCTTGGGGTTGAAGATGACGTCAGCTTGATGTTGTTGGTGACGTCACCTGACGTTGACTATGACGTCACCTTGAGGTTGAATATGACGTCACCTGAGGCTGACTATGACGTCACCTTGAGGTTGATGGTGACGTCACCTTGAGGTTGAAGATGATGTCATCATCTGCGATGGCGACGAATGGTGCCGAAGTGTAGTTGTCCACCCAGCCGCAGCTCCACTGCTGGAGAATCCTCAGAAAATGACGTCACCATGAGGCAGAAGATGACGTCACCATGAGGCAGAAGCTGACGTCACCTTAAGGTTGAAGATGATGTCATCATCCGCTATAGCAACGAAGGGAGCTGAAGTGTAGTTGTCCACCCAGCCGTAGCTCCACTGCTGGAGAATCTTCCCAGGAAGCTTCAGGTAGTTGCGCTCGTATTTCACCTGGAGGAGTGGAATGAATGAAGCAACATTCCACATTCACAGTATTGATAAGGAAAAATACTTACAGATATAATACACACAAATAAGATAAGGAATCACCACCCCACATAATAGTACACCTACCTACCTTCACCGCTTAGAACTGTATTCACCTGCACCCAGGGCGGCATGAGGTGCATTGCCACGTCATCCCCCTCATCCAGCACGACCACCACGCGGCCAATCCCGCGCGGCCACATCAGCTCCACTGACGTCAGCAGCGAGTAGAGCAGGAAGAGCTTTTCAGAGAGGTAGCTTCGAATCACGAGGTCAACCTTTCCGGGCCAGAAGGGGCTGAAAGGGAAAGGAGGGTTGGGAAAAGGAGGGGGGGAGAGGGGGCAGTGGGGGGAACACTTTTCAGAATTCGGAAAAGTGACTCCCATATGCAGTGGGTAGCAGCCAAAAAAGTGTGTCGCCAAAAGGAGGCTTCAAATCACAGGGTCTGCTTTTTTTAAGCCAAAAGGGTTTAGGGGATCGAAGAAAAATCTCATTACGGGTTCCTCAAGAAAATTTCCATTATGGGTTCATCGAGAAAATTCTCATTGTGGATGCATTATTATAGGGAAAAGGACACTGGCATCAAGGAAACGCAGAAAGAAGAGAGGTTTTGGAGCATGAGGGGGAAAGGGGAAGCTAGTGGGAGGTTGGGAGGGCATGAGGGGCAGAGGGAGTGAGTGACTGCGGTGCCAAAGGAGCAGAAGAGAGGATGAGAAGAAATAGAGGGTAGGAACGCGGATAGAAATGGGAATGACTTATGAGAATTCTCAAAAGTCACTCCCATATAGAGGGAGTGAGTGACTGCAGTGCCAAAGGAGCAGAAGAGAGGATGAGAAGAAATAGAGGGTAGGAACGCGGATGGAAATGGGACGGGCATAGGGTGGCGAACGGAGAGGTGAAACGAGGGGTGAGGGAATGAAACGGGGTTTTAGACAATCCTAAAAAATTGCTCAAAAGGAGGAGTGACGGAATGAAACGGGGATTGAGAGTGCGGTGGAGGACGTGTAAAAAAATGCACGTCATCAGCGTACCTTTACACGTCATCAACGTACCGGTACACGTCATCAACGAGGGCGAAGAAATCCGAGACGCATATCCCCGCTTTAGTCACTCTCTCGCACCGCCGCCCTCCCCCGTACCCATCACCACCGTACACGTGGCGCTCGCTCAGCCCTTCGTCTCCTCTCCCTCCTACCCCCCGCAATCCCCCGTCTGCCGACTCGCCAGCTTCCGTACTACGGCTTCCCGAGGCGCTTTGCGGCGCGCTCGAAGCGCACGAGACTTGGAGCCAGTTTAAGATCCACTCGCGCGCGCCGCTGTCGGCGCCGCTTTTTGCGGTGAACGATGCGAGGAGGAGGAGCGAGAGGAGGGAGAGGAGGAGAACGCAGCCGACGGTGCGGCGGACACGCTGCTGATAGGCCGCTGATCGGAGTCGCGCCTCCATTATTTAAGTCTGCCGACGCGTCGCACTCAATAGTCAATTCAGACGCGCTGCTAATAGGCCGCTGCGCACAGACGCGCCTCCATCGGGTTGCTCTTAAACTTACCTATCTAGCCATGGCAAACCTCCAATCTAGGCGGCCTAAGCTCTACAGGGCAGTCAGGCGCTGTCCATAGCTGAGACTGCCCGGAGATGATCGTGATTGGTGAGTCAGTTATGGAAATTTCTCAAAAGTGTCCCGTGAGGAGCTCGCATCGCGATTCACGATCTTGATGCTTCGTAAACGGTTTTGTGCGGTATAGTTGTTTACTCGAAAGCCAGCAAGTGTGCCCCAGCCCCAACCACCTGCTCTGAAGTGGACCCGCCTGGACTAAACCGAACCAAAACGAACCATAACCATTACGACCCGTGCCAACCGACCGAGGCACAAAGGTGATTCCTTCCCTTTCTCCCGTTTTGTTGATCACATCACTCACTCATTAGTGTTGCCAGCAAGCCGCCCCTAGAAGCAGGAGCAACGGAGCTCGCAGTTCCTTCGTGTTCGAAGGATCCCGCATGGACCTGATTGACTGACAATGGGTGCCGACTGACGTTTTCTGTGTACTGTTCGTTCTGGTTAGGCTTTGGACGGTTTCACTCTGGGACCTGACTGACGACGATCGGCGACTGACGAACGACGGTCCGCTTTGGACGGGTTAAACTGTCCACTTGATAGTACCGGCGACTGACCATCGGCGATGTTCCGTTAGCTTTGCGACGTTTTTCTCCAATCGCGCTGGTTACCGCATAAATATTTCAGGGGCTCGCTTCGCGGCATCTCAAAATCTGATTGCGTTTAATCATATGATAGACGAATAGAATAATCCCGAGAGTTTTATCGGCAAGCCATGGCCGCCTCTTTTCCCCGTCATGCCAAATCATGCATTTTCCCCCGCTCCTTCCGAAATGCTCTCCTCCTCCTACTCCTACTCCTCCTACTGCCGCCACCGCTGCCGTCCCCCACGTTACTGCTACTCTACCCTACGCGACTCGCCGTTCCGTCCTGCTGCGCCGCCGTCTTCGCCGTCGACCTGACGTCAGCGCGGAGCCACGTGGCTTCCATCCATAGGACAGTCGAGCAATCTCGCCGCCGCGAACTGCTGCTGTCGGTGGCAGCGCGATCCGCGGAGGCGTCTGGTTCGGAGACAAAGCTTCTTTATGAAGCTCAAGCTCGGAAGCCGAGTTCTTCTATCAAGCCCGCAGCTGGGACGGCGGCAGCTGGGACGGCAGCACCTGGGACGGCAGCAGCTGGGACAGCAGCAGATGGGACGGCAACAGCTGACCAGCCTCGCCGTCGCGTGCTGCTGCCACGGGAGGCGCCTGAGACGCTCGGGTCGGGCATGCAGCTTCACGAGGATTTGACGCCGCTGTGGGACATGGCGGCGCGCGTTGCCATTAACGGCACTGTGCTTGTCGTGGTCTCCAATGCCGGTAAGGGGTAATCGTGGCTGTTGAGTCGTCTCACGAGTCTGTTTCCTTGTCGTGATGATGAGAATGCGCTGATTCTTTCTGTGTTGCAACTTTTGAGACAAGGCAGGTAAGGGGGTGAAGAGAATGTGATGTTTTTTTTCGTGTTGCAGTTTTTGATTTAGCAGCACTCCTCACTACTCCACCTCACGTCACTCCTCTCCACCACACCGCATCGCACTGTCTTCCATTTTTACCCCTCTGTTTGTGCTCTGTCCGGGGGTTGGGGCTACACCAACATGCTGGAGAATTGGGTGCGTGAATGCGAAAGCACTCCTTCGCACTGCATCCCAGCTCACACCTCTCCACCGCACTGCATCCCAGTAACCCCCATTTCCACCCATTCGTTTCTGTATCTCTCCCAGGCTACACCGACATGCTGGAGAACTGGGTGCATGCAACAGCATCCTCCACTACCCTACCTCACACCTCTCCACCGCACTGCATTGTGTTAGCACCCATACCCACCCCTTTGTTCCTGTCTCTATCCCAGGCTACACTGACATGCTGGAGAACTGGGTGCGCCATGTCAGCAATGCGGGGCTGGGAGCGCACTTTATCCTCTTTGCCGAGGATGAGGAGACCCTTAGGTTCGGCCAGACCAGATGGCCCGGGCAGGTGAGGCACGGTTGGTTGCAGTGGAAGGCATGAGGCATGGGGGATTGCAGGGATAGGTAGCATGGTTACGTTGAGTCGACTCAAATGTGGGGCTGGGAGCACACTTCATTCTCTTTGCCGAGGATGAGGAGACCCTTAGGTTCGGCCAGACCAGATGGCCCGGGCAGGTGAGGCAAGGGCAGGTGAGGCACGGGCAGGCGAAGCTCGGGCAGGCGAAGCTCGGGCAGGCGAAGCTCGGGCAGGCGAGGGATGATTGGTTGCAAGGGCAGTTGAGCTTTTGTTGCTAAGGTCACAATCCCTCTCTTGCCCATCCCACTATCCCCCCTCTTGTCCATCCCACCACCCAACCCCACTGTTGCCCATCATCTTTCTTCCCCCCTCTTGCCCGTCCCCCCACAGACAATCCACCTGACCCTTCCCGACCAATCACTCTCTGCCACCTGGCAGCCCGCCTTCCCGCACTCCCCACACTCTGCCACGCGGGCAGGCACTCTCTCCTTCCACCTCCTCGCCTCCCGTCGCATTCTCTACCTGCTCCACCTCCTCTCCTTTGGCTTTAACCTCCTCTATTCCGACACAGACGTCGCCATTCTGCGCAACCCTCTCCCGGAAATCAATGCCGATCCGAAACAAACGTTTGACATAGCTCTCACTTTCGACGGGTACGAGTCGAATTGGCAGAAAAAAACAGTGCAGGTGGAGAGTTACGGCGTCGCGAAGCTAGCTGACCGGAAACTTTCCGTTTCGAGCTCGCTGCTTTTCCTCCGCCCGACGTCGGGGGCTAAGTGCTTGGTGGGGGACTGGGCTAATCGAGTGATGAAGTTGGGGAGGGACGAAGGGACAGAGCAAGAGCATTTAAACGCGCTGATTGTCGAAATGGATAAGTATGGACTTTTGCCGAGAATCGCCGTGCTGCCCGCGCAGAAATTTCTGTCCGGGCAGCTGCTGCTGGAGGATGATTGGGCGACGGTGGAGGCTTTGAAGGGGGAGCTGGTGACGGTGCATGCGGGCGGGCTGATGGGAAAAGACGCCAAGAGGTATGCTCTGAACAAACTAGGGTTTTGGATTGGGGAGTTGGATGGAGCAACACCAGTACCAGCAGCAGCAGCAGCAGCAGCAGCAGCAGCAGCAGCAGTTGGAGAAGAGGAGAGTGGAGGGAAAGAAGCAACAGCAGGAGGAGAAAGAGGGGAAGCAGCAGCAGCGACAGCCTCAGAGCCTGCTCTCTCTTCGAATGAGGACAGCAAATGGCCTAGTACCAGCGAAACTAGCACCCTCAGCAGCAGCAGCAGCAGCAGCAGCAGTGTCCGTGCAGGGGACAAGGGGCCGTTCTGTGTGGGGCTGCTGTGTCCCGAGATGCATGTATCGGAGGAGGAGGTGGTGCTGCTGTCCGTGCAGCCGTGGGTGCCGCGCCACGTGGAGAAAATGGATGCTCTTGTTCCCATGTTGGCCTCAGCCGACCGCTTTGTCATCGTCACTGCTGCGTGTAAAGGTACGAGCGGAAGGTGGGTGCGTAACTGGCTGTGCGTGCGTGTTGGTGCAGGTGTGGGAGTGACAGCAGTCGGGCAGGTGAGAGGGAGTGTGTGTGCGTGTGTCCCGAGATGCCTGTATCGGAGGAGGAGGTGGTGCTGCTGTCCGTGCAGCCATGGGTGGGTGGGTGCAGCGCCACGTGCAGCAGATCTGCTTCGACTGACTGACCTCTTTGTTATCGCCACTGCAGCGTGCAAAGGTAGGTGGTAGAAAGGTAGGTACGAGCAGACAGGTGGGAAGGTAGGTGTCCGTGCAGTCGTGGGCGCAGTGCAGCGCCACGTGCGGCAGATGCACTCTGCTTCAACGCCCCACCTCCCATCATGCTCCCTGCTTCCCTATCCCTCTACTCCCCTCTCCCCCTACCCTCCCCTGTGTGCCTCCAGGTCAAGTCCCTCTCTTCACCAACTGGTTCAACGCCATGCACTCTGCTGCCATGGCTGGCCATGTGATCGCCTCCGTGCCCCAAGAGGTACATTGTATTGTACGAATGTGGTTTTGACATAGGAACGTGGGTGCCACTTGAGGTGTGTGGTTGGCCATGTGATCGCCTCCGTGCCCCAAGAGGTATGCACTATGCGGTGCCGCGGGGATGTGGTTTGACATAGGAGGAGCCGCAAGAGGAGCATGGCACGGCATGTGATTGCCTCTCTCTTCACCCCAACTGGTTCAATGCCATGCACTCTGCTGCCATGGCTGGCCATGTGATCGCCTCTGTTCCTCAAGAGGTGCGTCGTGAGGAAAGTGTGTGGCCCAACTCAAGAGAGGTACTTTGTAAAGAGGGATGCGGTTTCGACACAGGAGCATGTGCCCTCGAGAGCTGTGTGGCTGGCCATGTGATCGCCTCTCGCTTCACCAGCTGGTTCAATTCAATGCCATGCACTCTGCTGCCATGGCTGGCCAGGCCATGTGATTGCCTCGCTGCCTCAAGAGGTATGTTGTAAAAGGTATGGCGTACGCAAAGGGGATGCGGTTTTGACATAGGAACGTCTGCTCCCCCAAGAGGTATGGCGGAAGGAAAGGGGATGCGGTTTCGACACAGGAACTTGTGTTCCCCAAAAGGTGTGTTGCGAAAGGGTTTACCGTGCCGCGTATGAGGCGATGTTTGGGGATCCTCACAATCCGCATATAGTGAGACGAATTTGAGGCACCTCGAAATTCGCGTGTAGTGACGCGATTTTATTTTATTTTTTAGGCGCCTCAAAATCCCCCAAGAGGTATGGTGTAAGGGTCTACATCCCTGCCCTCCCTGCCCTCCCTTCCCTCCCTGCCCTCCCTACCCTCCCTGCCCTCCCTTCCTTCCCTTCCCTCCCTGCCCTCCCTGCCCTCCCTTCCCTCCCTGCCCTCCCTGCCCTCCCTGCCCTCCCTGCCCTCCCTGCCCTCCCTGCCCTCCCTGCCCTCCCTGCCCTCCCTGCCCTCCCTTCCCTCCCTTCCCTCCCTGCCCTCCCTGCCCTCCCTGCCTTCCTTCCTTCCCTCTCCTTCCCCCTTAACAGGTGGAGGGTACGAGTGAGGGCCTGTTGAGGCAGCCAGACGAGAGTGAGTCGCCCTACAAGGCAGCCCTCACGTGCCTGCTGCTGCCGTCTCTGCTCATGGAGCGAGTGCTCAAGCTCGGCTACAACGTCATCTACAGGTACAGTGCGGTAGAGTACAGTACAGTACGGTGCAGTAGAGTACAGTACAGGTACAGCACTTGTTTAGTCGTCTCAACAGTCACCAAGGCAGCCCTCACGTGCCTGCTGCTGCCCTTGCTGCTCATGGAGCGAGTGTTAAAGCTCGGCTACAACGTCATCTAGATGTACAGTACAGCTGTACAGTACAGTACAGGACAGGTAGTACAGTGATTTGACGTCACTTGAGCTCCCTCGCTGCTCATTGAGCGAGTGCTCAAGCTCGGCTACAGGTCCGTAAGAGATGTTACGCATGATTTCATTGAGAGTATATAAATATATGTATATATAAATGTACACACCGTTGTCTGCATCTACAGCACATGTTTTGATACGAGTTACAGTCACAAGGCGAACCTCAAGTGCCTGCTGCTGCCCTCTCTTCAAAAGTGACACCTCTGTATGGCTCCAAAACCCTCTGCTGTTTTCCCCACTTTCTGTCCTGCTTTGCTCCCTCGTCATCACTCCCTCTCATCCCCCCTCTGCACGCCCTTCTCCCCTCCATTTGCAGTGACATCTCTTCTGTATGGCTGCAAGACCCCCTCCCATTCCTCCCTCCAGAGTACAACGCAGTTCTCCCCTCCTCTGTCCCCTCATCCTCCCAACCACCGCCGCCCGCCAACAACAAAATAGACAGCAAACTCAAGCGCACCCTGCCAATCTCCCGCCCCAACTTGGGTTATTTCTCTCCTTGGTTCGTCGCGCTTCGCCCCTCCCGGCCGATTCTCCTGATGCTGAAAGAATGGGCCGTTCTTGCTCTAGAAGACTTTCGGGAGAGGGCAGCCGTGGCGCATAGAAACTCCCTTGTGCGCTCGTTATCCGCGTCGGAGAGCTTAAAAGTGGGACTGAATGAGGCTATAACGAGGATGGTTGAGGAGGGGGAGCCGGGGTCGAATGTTGGCGTGTTGTCGCGGTGGTTGTTTCCTCCCGTTTGGAAGGTTATGGGGGAGAGGGAATGGTTTGCGAGGCATAGGGAAGAGGTGGTTGCAGTTCCGAATGATTGCGGGGATGATGTGAGTCATAGAGAGATGTGCTTCAGGGACTTGAAGCTGTGGGTGTAGTTTAGAGTGGTGTGTGTTTCTAATTTTAAACTTTCATGTAAGGTGATTGCAGTGCGGAATGATTGTGGGGATGATGTGAGTCATAGGGAGATGTGCTTCAGGGACTTGAAGCTGTGGGTGTAATCTGGAGGGAAGTAGGTTACCGGTATTCAAAAATATCAAATGAGGACGCTAAGGTAACTCACCTTTGTTCCCTCCTGTTTGGAAGGTTATGGAGAATGGGAGCGGTTTGCAAGGCATAGGGAGGAGGTGGTTGCAGTTCCGAATGATAGCGGGGATGATTCGACAATACAAATACTTCATACTTCATCTCCATAAATAGATGTTTCGTATCCCATGGAAACCTATGCGACCCTGTCTGTGGCCTCAACGTCCTCAACAGGCTCCACAATTTGTTGAGCAGCTTCTTTCTCCCTACCCACCACCACTAGGAGATTATTGAGTCGACTCAAAAGTCACCTGTTTATGTACCAACATGCTCATGCGATCATGTTTGTGGCCTCACCCTCAACTTTCTCGATAAGCTCCACAATTTGTCGAGCAGCTTCTTTCTCCCTACCCACCACCACTGTAATGTGGTTCTCTCCCCGAACCTCCAACAACTTCACGTTCGGATGCCGCCGAGCCAACCCCCTGCTAGAGTCGATCGGGCACAGCTTGTCTTTATCACCATGCACTATAGTCACAGGAACACTTCTGCTGCATAACTCGCCGCTCTCTGTCACAATACTCAATGATTCGGTTCCGTTACAGGCACCGCTGGTGGTAGGGTGGACGTTTGTGGGGCTCCGGTTGTGCAGTAGGTGCAGGGAAGGTTCCAGGAAGTTGGTGCCGGCACAGATGGTGTTGAAGAAGCAATGCCATGCGGTGTGGTGTGTGTGGCGGGTGAAATCCCTCATGAAGGAGGGCGGGAGCCTGTTGTATGGAGAGGCATGAGAGAAGAGAGTATGAAAGAAGGGAATATGAGACAAGGGAGCATGAGATAAGGGAGTATGCATGAAGGGGTACGGGAGAAAGGAGTGCGCAGTGCCAGGCAGTGTGGTGTGTGTTGCGGGTAAAGACACACAGAAAGGACAGATGGAGCCTGCTGCAGGGAGGGGGAGTATGTGAGAAGGTGAGTATGAGAGAAAGAGCGAATTGCCAGGCAGTGCGGTGTGTGTGGTGGGTGAAATCCCACATGAAGGACAGAGATAGCCTTCGGCAGAGAGAGGGAGGGAACATTGGCAGGAGCATTAGAGAAGCGAGACAGGAGTGAGGGAAAAGTGGCAGTGGCAGGCAGTGCAAAAAGTGTGGCAGGTGAATTCATGCAGGAAGGACAGGAGCCTGCAGCAGAGAGAGAGAGCATCAGGAAGAGCATGAGAGTAGGGAGACGTGAGGAATGATGAGATGAAAGGGACAGTGTGGTGCGTGTGCGTGTGTGCGTGCATGTGCATGTGGCACGATCAGATTTTCTCACTCACCCAAATTTCCAACCCACTCAGACGTTCCCACTTGCGCAATTTTTCCTTCCCCACTCACAAGCTCACACTCACTTGGCGCCAATGCGGGGCAGCAGGAGAGCGGCGAGGCGAGGGGGTCATGTTTGTAGGAGTAGATGCATACACAGGGACTTGCTGCTCGCTCACACTTCCCCACCCACTCAGACTTCAACGCTCAGCACCCCGCACTCACTTGGCGCCAATGCGGGGCAGCAGGAGAGCGGCGAGGGGGTCCGAGAGCCAATGGAATTGCGCCAGCAAGGCGCAGATGACTCGGCCCACGTGCTCGAACCACGACATGACGCTGATGCCCAGGAGCAGTGCAGAGGAGAGGCAGCGTGGGGTGACGAGACGGTAAAACTCCTCTGCTGGCGTGAGGCCTGGCCAGGGGGGGATGAACGGCTGGGATGGTATGGGTTGGCATTGGTTGGGGGAAGAGGAGTAAACGTTGTGAATAGAATGTATGTCTGCTAGAAGCAGCGCGGGGTGACGAGGTGGTAAAACTCCTCTGCTGGCGTGACGCCTGGGTGCGGGGGGGATGAACGGCTGGGTAGGAGCAGAAGTCGGAGGAAAGGAAGACAAGACGAGAGGAGTGAGCGGCCGTGGCTAAGCTATTTCCTGAAGAGGTTGTCTTAGGAAGTCGCATGAACAATAAATAACCCCCGTACCCTGCACCCCCGCTCTCCCTCCCACGTGCTCGAACCACAACATGACGCTGGTGCCGAGGAGAAGTGCGGGTGAGAAGCAGCCTGGGGTGGCGATAGAACTCCTCTGCGGGCGTGAGGCGGAGGGGGAGGGGCGGGTGAACGGCTGGGGAACAATATTGGTGTTAATTTTGAGAATTCTCAAACGCAGCGCGGGGTGAAGTGGCGATAGAACTCCTCTATGGGCGTGAGGAGGACGAGGAGGAGGGCGAGGCGGGGGTGAACAGCTGGGGAACGGAAGGGAGAGGGATGAAATGAGAGAGAACAATATGATCCGGACAGAGAGAGCCAGACCGAGCCGCATTTTTGCCCAATCCAGGCAGAGAGGCAGGCTCGTAACCGACCCAAACAAAGTACACAAACGGGCTATCAGGAAGCGCATACGCAAGGCATTGACCACGCCCTTGCAGTGGCAGTGCTTTCATCACCGGTTACTGCAGTGAGAGGGGATTATTCACCTGGGGGTAGACGCAGAGAGAGGCCACTCGGTCACTGTTGCGAGCAGCCAGACAGGCAGCTACAGCAGAACCAGCGCTGTGTGTGTGTCCCAAGTACTAGAAATCAGAGTTACTCACAGGCGAGTAAAGGCAGACAGACACCACCCTGTCTCGGTTGCGAGCAGCCAAAACTGCTGCTATGAGGCATCCCATGCTGTGGCCCACGATGTGGAAGGTGGAGATTTTGAGCGGAGCAAGCACCGTGCGCTCTATCCATCTGCTTGGATGACGATGTGAGGAGGACAGGGGTGGGGGAATAGGGGGGATGAAGGGGGAGCAGACAGAACTGCAGCTATGAGGCACCCCATGCTGTGGCCCACGACATGGAAGGTGGAGATGTTGAGCGGAGCGAGTACCGTGCTCTCTATCCATCTGGTAAGGGAAAACGGGGAGGGGATGCGTATGGGTGAAAGGGAAAAGGGGGAGGGGATGCGTATGGGTGAAAGGGAAAAGGGGGAGGGGATGCGTATGGTTGAAAGGGAAAAGGGGGAGGGGATGCGTATGGGTGAAAGAGAAAAGGGGGAGGGGATGCGTATGGGTGAAAGAGAAAAGGGGGAGGGGATGCGTATGGGTGAAAGAGAAAAGGGGGAGGGGATGCGTATGGGTGAAGGAGAAAAGGGGGAGGGGATGCGTATGGGTGAAAGAGAAAAGGGGGAGGGGATGCGTATGGGTGAAAGAGAAAAGGGGGAGGGGATGCGTATGGGTGAAAGAGAAAAGGGGGAGGGGATGCGTATGGGTGAAAGAGAAAAGGGGGAGGGGATGCGTATGGGTGAAAGAGAAAAGGGGGAGGGGATGCGTATGGGTGAAGGAGAAAAGGGGGAGGGGATGCGTATGGGTGAAAGAGAAAAGGGGGAGGCGATGCGTATGGGTGAAAGAGAAAAGGGGGAGGGGATGCGTATGGGTGAAAGAGAAGGGGGAGGGGATGCGTATGGGTGAAAGAGAAAAGGGGGAGGGGATGCGTATGGGTGAAAGAGAAAAGGGGGAGGGGATGCGTATGGGTGAAAGAGAAAAGGGGGAGGGGATGGGTATGGGTGAAAGAGAAATGGGGGAGGGGATGCGTATGGGTGAAAGAGAAAAGGGGGAGGGGATGCGTATGGGTGAAAGAGAAAAGGGGGAGGGGATGCGTATGGGTGAAAGAGAAATGGGGGAGGGGATGCGTATGGGTGAAAGAGAAATGGGGGAGGGGATGCGTACGGGTGAAAGAGAAAAGGGGGAGGGGATGCGTATGGGTGAAAGAGAAAAGGGGGAGGGGATGCGTATGGGTGAAAGAGAAAAGGGGGAGGGGATGCGTATGGGTGAAAGAGAATAGGGGGAGGGGATGCGTATGGGTGAAAGAGAAATGGGGGAGGGGATGCGTATGGGTGAAAGAGAAATGGGGGAGGGGATGCGTATGGGTGAAAGAGAAAAGGGGGAGGGGATGCGTATGGGTGAAAGAGAAAAGGGGGAGGGGATGCGTATGGGTGAAAGAGAAAAGGGGGAGGGGATGCGTATGGGTGAAAGAGAAAAGGGGGAGGGGATACGTATGGGTGAAAGAGAAAAGGGGGAGGGGATGCGTATGGGTGAAAGAGAAAAGGGGGAGGGGATGCGTATGGGTGAAAGAGAAATGGGGGAGGGGATGCGTATGGGTGAAAGAGAAAAGGGGGAGGGGATGCGTATGGGTGAAAGAGAAAAGGGGGAGGGGATGCGTATGGGTGAAAGAGAAATGGGGGAGGGGATGCGTATGGGTGAAAGAGAAATGGGGGAGGGGATGCGTACGGGTGAAAGAGAAAAGGGGGAGGGGATGCGTATGGGTGAAAGAGAAAAGGGGGAGGGGATGCGTATGGGTGAAAGAGAAAAAGGGGAGGGGATGCGTATGGGTGAAAGAGAAGGGGGAGGGGATGCGTATGGGTGAAAGAGAAAAGGGGGAGGGGATGCGTATGGGTGAAAGAGAAATGGGGGAGGGGATGCGTATGGGTGAAAGAGAAAAGGGGGAGGGGATGGGTATGGGTGAAAGAGAAATGGGGGAGGGGATGCGTATGGGTGAAAGAGAAAAGGGGGAGGGGATGCGTATGGGTGAAAGAGAAAAGGGGGAGGGGATGCGTATGGGTGAAAGAGAAATGGGGGAGGGGATGCGTATGGGTGAAAGAGAAATGGGGGAGGGGATGCGTACGGGTGAAAGAGAAAAGGGGGAGGGGATGCGTATGGGTGAAAGAGAAAAGGGGGAGGGGATGCGTATGGGTGAAAGAGAAAAGGGGGAGGGGATGCGTATGGGTGAAAGAGAAAAGGGGGAGGGGATGCGTATGGGTGAAAGAGAAAAGGGGGAGGGGATGCGTATGGGTGAAAGAGAAATGGGGGAGGGGATGCGTATGGGTGAAATAGAAATGGGGGAGGGGATGCGTACGGGTGAAAGAGAAAAGGGGGAGGGGATGCATATGGGTGAAAGAGAAAAGGGGGAGGGGATGCGTATGGGTGAAAGAGAAAAGGGGGAAGGGAGGCGTATGGTAGAGACTACATGGTGCAGCTATCAAGCACCCATGTTGTGCCCCACGACATGGAAGGAGGATATGTTGAGTGGGTCGAGAACCGTGCGCTCTATCCAGCTGCTTACAGGACGAGGTGGGGAGGAGGAGAGGGGAGGGGAGGGTGAGAACCGTGCGCTCTATCCAGCTCTCACCTGACGTGCTCTTCAATGCTGTAGTCACAGTCCCTCGGCTTGGGGCTCTTGCCCCACCCCAGCAGGTCCACCGCCACCAACTTCAGTATGGGGAGGAATACCTCTACATTTGCTATAGTCACATCCATTCATGCCTCACAAACGTGCTCAACGCTATAGTCACAGTCCCTCGGCTTGGGGCTCTTGTCCCACCCCAGCAGATCCACCACCACCACCCTTCGGCATAGGGAGAAACTCACATGCCACAGCATTCGCTATAGTCACACCAGTTCTCACCTGACGTGCTCCTCAACGCTATAGTCACAGTCCCTCGGCTTGGGGCTCTTGCCCCACCCCAGCAGGTCAACCGCCACCACCCTCCTGCCCTCCAGGAAGCTTCTGGGAAGAAACGGCACGGCGGTGTCAGTCCAAAAGGAGGAGGCTGCGCCAAAGCCATGCAGCAGGAGCACTGCGGGTTTCTCCTTGCATTCAGCATTGACACGCGTAAGTGTGCTGCTGCTGTCGTTGGTGCAAACTGTAGGTTTCTCTTTGCATCCACCATTGCCATGCGCATGTGCGACATCCACACGCGTATCTTCAACACTGAACGTTGATGGTGGCTTGCATTCAGAGTGCAAGGGAGCAGTGCTGCTGCTGCTGCTGCTGCTGCTGCTGCTGCTGCTGCTGCTGCTGCTGCTGCTGCTGCTGCTGCTGCTGCTGCTGCTGGTGAGAAGTGCAGGGTTCTCTTTCCCAAACACACTCCCTCCCACCACGGTGAAATGTAGCGCCTGCCTCTCATATGCATCACCACACTCCTGGCAGTAACAGTCCGTCCATCTGCCTCCCACCCTCCCGGACGTAGCTTCACCGGACCCAACCGCACTAGACCCAACCTTTCCAAAGCCAACCGCAATGCCCACTGGCGCAGCTGTTGCTGCTATTGCTACTGATTGCGCTGCTACTCCTGCTGCTCCCTGTCCTTCGTTCGTCACTTGACTGTCCAAGCCTGCTGCTGCATCATCTGTGATGGGGTTTGTAACATCACGAAGGCCTGCTACAGCTTCAGAGTGGTTACCACCAACATCATGCATGCACGTCCTATGAGCAGGTGACACGTGGCAGGGGGAGAGGAGAGGATCGTGGTCAGATGGCACACGCTGATTTGAGGGCTGCGGCCGTTCAGCTTCGCTGTTATGGCAATGGTGTTGTCGCTGCTGCTGCTGCTGGTGCGGCTGCTGCTGCTGTTCGTGCTGCTGATGCGGCTGCTGGTGGTGCTGGTGGTGAGGGAAGGAGAAGTGCGGATGGCGAATGGAGCCATGCGTCAATGCGTCCGGGGGAGTCCAGAGAGGATGACAATCCCTGCTGCAGCAACCGTCAGCACCAATGACAGCACCGATGTCCGCAGCAGCAGCAGCAGCACCAGCAAGAGCAGCATTGCCACCAGAGACATCTGCAACTCTCTCTTCACCAGAGTAATCACAACTGCTCAAACGACGCCTCGTTTCCTCATATCTTATCTCCTCCCCCTCCGCTTCTTGCTGTTCGCCCTGCATCCTGTTCTGCTTCGCCCCGTTCAACTGCACAAGCTGCTGCGTGTCACAACCCTGCGCAACCTGCTGCACACCGCACCACTGCAGAACTCGCTTCGTCCTCCAGTCCAGGGAGAACGGCAGGGCAACTCTCGCCATTCGAAGCGCTCTCAAGTCAAATGAAACTCGCCATTTGCGGTGGAACAGGTCCGGGGCGATGCTGGGTGGAATCAGGCTCGGCATAGCTCCGGATGAGAAGACGGATCCGGCAATGGTTGGGCCGGACCGATTAGAAAGGACTGCATAGGAGCTTTCACTGCTACTGCTTCCAGGAATCGTGCTTGGAATAGTGCCTGCATTGCTGCTGCTGCTGCTGCTGATCCTGCGGTTGCAGTAGCAGGGTGGAGCGTTTTCGCCAGCCAAGCGGTCAAGGAACCAGAAGACGTAGCAGAGAAAGAAATCAAGAAAGTCCAGGCAGAGGAAGAAGAGAAAGCACGCCGCTTCCCCTGCTGCTTCTGAGGCTTTAAGAGCTGCTTTTCTGGCCTGGTTGGCTGTCTGCTGGGCTCCAGATGCTGCTGTTGCTGGTGCTTGGCGTATGAGATGGCGGCATTGCGCAGTGCTTGTGCGCACGAGCCGGATTATCCGAGCCAGACGGGTTGGTTTGGTAGGATGAGAGAGGGAGTGCGTGAGCCGGCGAGAGGAAGTGTGAGGGTGAGGGTGGTAGGGAGAGTGAGGGTGAGAGTGAGAGTGAGAGTGAGGGTGAGAGTGAGTGTGAGTGTGTGGGTGAGGGTGAGGGTGAGGGTGAGGGTGAGGGTGGGATTGGGAGTGACTGCCTCGTTTTGGGTGAGTCATTGCATGTTTTGATTGGTGCTGGTCGGCCTTCAGATTGTGACTGCTCTTATGCCGACACGTGTCATGGTGTGCAGAGGTTTCGTGTGATGTGGCACTGCGGGACGTGGAATGCTGTATGGTGACATGATCCGTTACGGTCTCGTGTGACGTGGCGGAGAGAGGTCTGGGAGGGTGTGACGTGGCTTGATGCGACGTGTCAGAAATTGAGGGATGACGCGGAGCCATCGCCTGAACGAAAGAGGACGGGCCAATCAGGACTCAACGATATCTAAAGAGCACGGAGAGTCTATGTAAGCGGAAGGTTCTTCCAGCATAAAAAGGACGAAGGGATTGAGGGTGAGAGAGGAAGGATCTTTCCGAGATAAATAGAGAATGTGAAGGAATAGGAACTCTACAGCGGAATGCGGGGCTAGGAACGTGTCTCAACGGGGAATCTTTAGAGGAATAAGAATCAACAGGGCTCAAAACGCCGGCTTTGTATGTTCAGGAATGATTGCACGACGTGATTGGGGAAATCAGGAATGATAATCTAACGGCTGTTTGCGCGACAAGTAATGAGTCAATGTGACCCTCGGAACCAGCTGTGAAGAGAAAGCTCGAGTCTCCTAGTCTTTCAACTCTGAGGAGAAAGCTCGTGTCTCCTAGCCTTTCCTCAACAGCCTACGGGATTAGTCGATGGTAATACCGTCTCTAGAGAACTGGTCCAGTCTGGAGCACAGGTCCTTTGGGGGTACTCATTCATGCACTGGTCGTTTTGGACGGTGCAAAAGGGTAATCACGGTCCGGAAGATTTCTGCAGTTTAACGTTTTCAACCTTCCTGCGCTGGACTGAACCGTTGGAAGTGAATTGCGCTAGGGACAGCCCCCCCTCATGAATGGTTGTGGTAGTAGTGGCGAGGCGAGCCTGACACCAGAAAAAATGGCGGGAAAATAACACCCGCTGTGTTGGAGTTCGAGTGAATCAGTGGTGAAGAACAATGCACTGAAATTTGTGGACATCGACAATCCCTGTGGTGCATCGGTGCTGATTAGTCGCCAGTTGTAACTCGCGAACTCCCGACAAAATCGCGTACACTTCAACAAAGAAAGTTGCTTCAATAAAATAAGCATACATGTTCTCATTCTCACCACCACATGAGACGCACATTCAGTCTCCCATACAGAGAACTCAAATGGTTAAAGAGTTGTCCATCGCATCTGGTGCTCAATGACCTCCTGAAGTTTTGCTCATCTTAATTCCCGTTAGATACCACACCATCCTTAGTCACCGGAAGTGCTTTATGGGTGTAGGTGACGTCCTTGTCCTTGTTGACCACCTGTCCAGCCCCTCTCAGCAACCAGCGTGTTGTGAGGAGGCCCTCAACCCCGACAGGCCCTCTCGCATGGATGCGGCTCGTGCTGATGCCCACCTGCAAACCACATAGAAGCGCGATATGAGCAAATGAATGCGTGAGGAGAAATTAGCTCCACATGTAAAAATATATTTCCACCATCCAAGCATCGCATGGAAAATTCAAACAGATGCGGCTTTCTTGGATGTGAACAACTCCTTGCAACAAAGCTGCTTCTTATCTCAGCGTCCCAAGTGCAGCTCCCACTGTTCAGCCCACCAATACATTGAGCCCATCCCCCTATCCTCATCCATTGTCCACCCCTCTAATTCACCTCAGCAGAAGGGTGTGGGAGAAGCAGCGTCCCAAAACTGATCCCGTTGGTGCCCTCCCTCCCTCCCTCCCCTCCTCCCTCCTCTGCCCTCGCCAAGCCCATCATGAAAGCCGTTGATCATGCGGCCACATCTACTCTTTCTCTCTTCTAACCGACTCACCTCGTCGCCGAGCCTGAAGCGGAAGCCGTCGGAGAAGCCTCTCATATCGTCCTCTGTTGCCCAAATCGCCTACTATCACCCAGAAAGCCTCCCCCCGACTCACCTCGGCGCCGAGCCCGAAGCGGAAGCCGTCGGAGAAGCGAGTGCTGGCGTTGTGCACCACGACCGCACTGTCCACCGACGCCAGAAACTTCTTAGCGGCTTCCTGGTCCTCGGTGACGATGGCGTCGGTGTGCGCGCTGCCGTGCGTGTGGATGTGGTGGATGGCCGCGTCAATGTCCGGCACGATCTCCACCGTACATTCCAGCGACCCGTACTCGTGATGCAGATTCGCTGCCGGAGGCAGATGGAAGGGTCCAGCTGCCCCTTTGCCTCCATACAGCGCTATGCCTGCATGCATGGAACAGGCGCAAAATACATCGAATGTAAGAAAATTAAATTAATCCAATCTCAAGATTAAGTTCGCTGTAAGTATAAACGATTGTAATGAGATGCCTTGCGAAAGCAATGACATTGTGTGGATGGAAAAGGGATGAGAAGGTGCAATTTAGAAAAAGAATGAGGTACAAGAGGGAAATGAGGAAGAGCTCATGGAGGAAAGGAAAGGAAAGGATGCGATCGTGAGGTACGGATGCCAGAAGCTACTTTCGTAGCCAGAAGGAGCTTACCGTTCTCCTTGAGCTCCTTGATGATGTCTGCTGCTGCTCCTGATCTCGCCAGGTCTTCATGGATGAGCAGCGTTTCCTGCTTATTGCACACCATGCATTTAACATTGCACATTTCACATTCCACACCGCGTATTTCACAATTCCACAGCAAATTGCACTTAGCAAATGGCATGCGGTGCATTGCATGAAGTGGAGAATCAGCACATAGATGTCATACCATGGCAGTACATAAATGCTCCATCCCACAGCAGTAAAGCATCATCTCACCATGGCATTGCAGGCAGCGGGATAGTCCATCTTGGCATCCAATATGATCCGCTTGGCCATCTTGAGGTTGGCTGCCTTGTCCACGTACACGTGGCACACGCCGTCCGCATGGCCCAGCACCGCAATCTTGGTGTGCGATTTGATATGATTCACCAGCGCGTTGCTGCCGCGCGGAATCACCAGGTCGATCACGTCGTCCAGCTTCAGCAGATCCGAGATGTCGTCACGTGAAGTGACGAGGCCAATCAGTGCTGGGCCCACCTCGGCTGGCAGGGCGGACGCAATCACCTGGGGGAGGTGGGAAGGGGGAAGGTGGCTTTAGAGGTTCCCCAACTTTACGTCTGCATGGATATGAGGTTTTGCATACACCATTAACCAGTTACTCCACGGTGGCTAACTAATGGAGCTTGCATCAATCAATGTTATCTTCATGCTTATCTCATGATGGTTATCACTCACCTGTGGTTACCTTATGATTACCTTGTGGTTACCACTTGCACTGGTTACCACAACGGAGCTTACCTCGTGGATGATGCGGTTGGAGTTGAGTGCCTCCTTGCCTCCCTTGAGCAGCAGCCCGTTGCCGCTGCGAATCGCCAGCGCTGCAATCTGCACCGCCCAGCCCAGGGATGGGGTGGGTGGTGGGAGAGACGAGGGAGAGGATAAGAAAATCAGGCAAGCATGTGACGAGAGAAACCATTTCGCATGTGGAGTTTTCTATTTTTCTCCAAGTTGGATGGTTCAGTCGGGCGAAGTAACAGTGACATGGCTCATGGGCATGGCTCACAAAAAGAAGCCATGGCCCAGGGTCCATGACTCGAGTTTGGGTGATGAAGCATGCTCATAGGGTGCCAGGTTTGAGGTTCATACATGGGGTATGGAACATGGCATGGTGCGTGGCATGGGGTATGGCGCGTGGCATGGGTTATGGTGCGTGGCATGGGTTATATTATGTGGCATGCAGTCTGGTACGCGGCATGGGTTATGGTAGGTGGCATGGGTTATGACGGTGCAAGGCATGGGGTATGGTGCGTGGCATGGGGTATGGCGCGTGGCATGGGGTATGGCGCGTGGCATGGGGTATGGCGCGTGGCATGGGGTATGGCGCGTGGCATGGGGTATGGCGCGTGGCATGGGTTATGGTGCGTGGCATGGGTTATGGTGCGTGGCATGGGTTATGGTGCGTGGCATGGGATATGGTGCGTGGCATGGGGTATGGCGCGTGGCATGGGGTATGGCGCGTGGCATGGGGTATGGCGCGTGGCATGGGTTAGGGTGCGTGGCATGGGATATGGTGCGTGGCATGGGGTATGGTGCGTGGCATGGGGTATGGTGCGTGGCATGGGGTATGGTACACGACATGACGTCACCCCTCTCACCTGCGGCATGGCGTCCGGCCGCGATTCAAATATCACCAGCAGCACCCCCAGCGGCCACCGCTGCTTCTCCAGCACCAAGCCCTCCGCCACCTGGTCAGAAAGAAAGGGACAAAAGCGAATCGGGTGGCAGATTTGTGGGAAGGTGGTGAAGTTGACTTGGTGAGAGGTCAGAAGTCACTCTCAGCGGCCATCGCTGCTTCTCCAGCACCAAGCCCTCGGCCACCTGGTCAGAAGCAAAGGGAGATTCGTGAGGAGGGTGGCGGATGTGTGGGACGGGTGACAGATGTGTGGGAAGGGTGACAGATGTGTGGGAAGGGTGACAGATGTGTGGGAAGGGTGACAGATGTGTGGGAAGGGTGACAGACGTGTGGGAAGGGTGACAGAGCTGTGAGAAGCGAGGGGAGGTTGGCAACTGAAGGGAAGGGAAGCAGCTGAAGGCAAGGGTGTTCGTGATGAGTTCGGCAAATTTGTGGGGATGGTCTGAGAGTTTCTGTGGACTTTCATATCTCCTTTCCAATCTATTACCTGCGTGCATGTAACGTTTTTTGCAATAGATGGTCACCCCAGAGCTTAGGGTGGTTCGTGCACTTACCAGTATTCCTCATTTCTGCCTGCATGCGTCACATGATTTACCTACCCTGTGACCTGTCCTGTAACCGTTCCCGCAAACCCCATCCTTCCCTCCCTCCACTCACCCTCCCGCCTACACACCTCTGTGCATGCCAGCGTCTCTGCTATCGGGTCCGGCATCTCCGCAATGGCACGAATGCCCTCCGCCAGCTGATTTATCTGCAGTGGTTGGGGGACGGAGAGCGAGGGGATAGCGAGAGTGAGGAAGGGGAAGAGAGCGGGTGAGAACGAGAAATGCAGGGAGATTTTTGAATTGAAGCGATTGCTTGAACGCCCTCCGCCAGTTGATCAACGTCAGGGAATAAGAAAACGATGGCAGTTGGGGAAGGCGGGGAGGGAGTGGATAGTGGAGAGAGTGTGGGAGGGGAGGGATGGGAAAGGGGGGGAAGGTTGGTGGGATGTGGTTTGGGGAAGAGGCATGCAGCAAAGAGAGTCGTTGATATAAGAAATGACTCAGATGCCTTTCGCCGATTGCTGAGGTACAATGTAGCGGAAAGAGGGGGTTGGGGACGGAGGAGGGGAATCTAGAGGGATGGTAAATTGGGGGGAGGGGAAGTTAGCTGGGAGAGAGGGGAAACTGGAAGCGGGGGAAAAGTTGGAGGGAGGAAAAACAGGCGAGGGAGAGCCGGAAAGGGATGTTCAGCACATGGTTTTTATATAAATGCCCTTTAATGGGAGGGGGAAAAAGGGGGTACAAGGCGGGCAGCTCCATCACCCAGCCACACTCGATGTACTACGAGAACATGCACCAGGAGATAGGCGGAAGGCTAGCTTCCAAGAGTTGTGTATGCACCTCTGCACTACGCATTCCTCGATAAAAGAAAACTCAGATCCGTATCAGCTCTTTGCGTTCGTGTATGCTGACTACGTTCTCGTATCAATTATATTCAGCGACAGAATCTAAGCCGAAGCTTTACCTTCAATAAATTGCCAACATCCTGGGCCCTGATGCTCCGCCACTCCCTGCTATTCCCACTGTACTACACTTCGCGACGATGATGCCTTCATATTTGAATTTCACGTACCCGGCCAGGTTTGAGTTTCAGCCGTTGGATGAGAGCAGGGGCAACGCGATGGATTTCTGCGAACCGCACGTCGTGGTTGTTCTGCTCGATGATCTCCTCCTCCCGCTTCACCAGCGCGTCAGCCACATTCAGCAAGATCTCCTTCCTCTTCTCCTGCGACAGAGCCTGCATCGCGGGTAAATCCATGGCACAGGGAGCAATGTAACAGCAAGCCATAATTTAGCGTTCTAGCACGCTGCAGACGACTTCTCGGCCAGGCAGCATTTTGCCTACATATACCCTACACACCAACCTAGTTGGATACTTCCTGTGCACTGATTGTACCACCAGTCAGATGGCATAAAAACTACCATAGCCATACCGCAATCGAACTTTAGAACGAAAGAAGGACTCCCCTGTCACCACGCCTACGATACCAGAATTGGGACACCGAATCACAGAAAAGATTCCTACTCTGGCAGCATACCTGCAGCTTCCTGCTCGCGTCACGCGCAGCAACAGCCATGTCGCGGGCAGCGCTTTTCCCCGACTTGCCAACAGCCCACAGATGCGCGTCTTTGTGGAACAGCGTGCCCACCAGCTCGCCTCGCAGCACCCGCAGCACGCCGTCATTCGTCAGCCCGCTCGCGATCACCGTCGTCACTCCCCCCATCGCCGCTTTCAAAGCCGCGTCCACCTTTGCGGTCATCCCGCCTCGTCCGACGCGCGATTTCTCGCCGAATTTGATCTCGTCCTGAGAATCTTTCACGTATGTGTTGATGAGCACTGAGTCGGGGTCGGACGGAGGTCCAGTGTAGAGGCCGTCGATGTCAGAGAGGAGAATCAAAGCGTCGGCTTCGAGTTCGAGAGATAGGAGCGCCGCAAGAGAGTCGTTATCCCAGAAGATTCCCGACGCATCCTTGTACGGCACGTGTCGCGTGGAAATTGCATCGTTCTCGTTAAATATGGGGACTACGCGATGGTCCAGGAGCGAATTCACGGTGCTACGAAGCTGATCGCGAAATTCCAGGTCCGCGAACTCCCGTTCGGTTACCAGCAGCTGAGCGCAGCCGACGTCAACCTGATGGAACAGCGACTCGTACAGTGACGTCAGCTCGCCCTGGCCAATAGCCGCGCAGGGCTTGCCTTCGAGCTCCGCCTGCGGCTTCTGAAGGTCCTTGAAGCTCGTCCGCATGAAGCCCTGGAAGCGAAGCTTCTGCCGGCCCACGCCGACGGACCCGCTGGTGACGATAATCACCTGGCGACCCTCGGATACAAGAGCCTCAACCTGTAAGCGTAAACAAAGAAGGAAATGAATTGAGCATTTACGAGGCAAATGACGGGTCTTCCCAGGAGAAAAGACATGAAGAAGGATCCGCTGGTGACAACGATGACCTTGCGGCACTCGGACAGGCGAGCCTGAAGCTACGGGAAAGGATTATTGTTATTATTATTTTCTAATATAAAAAAATGAGCCATAAAGAAACGGTTTGAGCGTCCACAGGCAAAATTGTTGGCAATGGCGGAGGCAAACAGAAAAAGTGCTAGTGTTTTACCTATCTCCAGACACATGCGGTTTTATTTTTGTGTTACTTACGCACCTCCTCGCAGAGACACCCGAGCCGGCCAACTGCAAGATGGCCATCCGGACGGGTGACGACGGCCGTGCCAAGCTGAGAGTCAAGGAGGAAGCAACAGAAGAGAGACATAAAATGCGGATCAACAGTGGTCTGTGAAGAAACGAGACATAAAAAAAAGTCTTTAGTGCACATTGACAGTAGAATGAAGGCAGTTAAGGAAATGCGTAGTAGCGGTAAGTGACGAATGGCCACCTTGATGACGACGCGTCGAGCGTTCTTAAGCGCGTGCCGAGCAGCCGCTTCACCAGGAGAAGACATGATAATTCACAATGTAGATACTGTTAAAATTCGGTTTTGCGAGTTTTCCCGCAGCGTCGAACTGCAAAGAAAGCTTAGAGCCTGACGGCAAAGACCTTGGACAGTTAACTCTAAGCTAGCCACAGAACGACTGCTGAGTTAGGCTAATGGAGTGACACTGACTAGGATGAGGCAAACAGGCAGCATGTAACAGGAATGCAGAGGCAGAGGACAGATATAGGATGGGTGGGACTGGGGGGTGGAAAATTCTGGGCCTGTATGGTATGGCCTGCAGCTTGCCCGACGGTATGGCCTGAGATACCGTTCAACGGTATTTCCAACGGTATTTCCAACGGTCTTTTCGAGATACTCCTAGAGATCTCCCCGGCTCCTGGGATTGCAGGGTGAACAAAGTCCCGCACAATGGGGGCACTGGTGTGCATCTGGGTGGGTGTAGTAGGTTGGTTGACGGTCGGTGGTTTCGGAAGGAATCTTGCGGTGCTGTAGGTTGTTAAATGGTCATAGACGATTCTGTAGGTTTTAGTGTGGTTCTTGTGGATGTGACAGGCTTGACTGGCTGGGTGGATATTCCATGTTTGCCAGCGCACCGTTGACGGCCTGGCATCTGCAACTTTCCAGGTGCTTGAAAAACAATGTTTGTACATGTGTGCCAATTAGAATTCTCGTTATCCAAGTGACGTTCCACGTAGGATCCAGCTACGAAAGTTGACGTCAGCGTGGTCGTCTGATTTCCCGCCTTCAGAAATGGGAGCTGCCCTGTACAGAATGCTTCGACACAAAATACAGCTATTTACGAATTATACGTACACGCATTTCTATGTTGTGTATACAGTATCGCCGAGCGATGGAAGGTGGTGGTGTTGATTGGTTGAACGACAGCCTCCAATCAGGTGAGGCACCCGATTATTGATTGACGAATCAGAGCGGCTTGAGTGAGGCAAAAGAAGCCTTCATTAGCGTGTGCGGTTCATACTACACCTGATGCCCGTTTTAGTCCCCCCTACTTTGGTTGTGCTCTGGGCTTATAAACGTTTTAGGCATTTCGCCCAGTTCGTTCCATTTCGCCAGGGTGTTGAGGTGCTTCTAAAAAACACAGGTTGTAACTCGTTTGTTTTTTCCAAAACAGTGCTGGTGGGCCTGTGTTTTTGTCAGTTCAGGGTTTTGGGTTTATGCTTGTTTCTGGCCAAGAAACAAGAACCTACCGGGTCAGCATGGTTTGTTTTGCGCCTAAGATTCATACTTTGGCGTTTTCTCGCCCAAATGCAAGTTGATCCGCGTGCCTATAACCTGGGTGCAACTGAGTGGGAAAAAAAACACGGGTGCAGAGTTTCTGAAATGTACAAGGCAGATTCGCGCGCAGTGGTTGGGCATCATGTGTATTCCTGTCTCAGCTTTCGGCTGCCAATAGGGCATAGTCGCCTCCAAAGTCGCTCCCGTTTTGCAGGAAACCTTGGGGTTCGGCGATTTTAGTGGGGCCGATCGCCACCATTTTCACCTCTCTTCCATCCTGATTTTGAGCCTCGAGTATTTTGCTTGGCCCGACCGTTTTGCAGGGCTAGAGCGTTTTGCTTGTGCCAGTCGTCTCAAAGCTGTGATCATCTCGTCAGGGCTCTCTGATCCTCTAGGCTAGTGTTTTACGAACAAGTCTCTCAGTTATTCACGCTCAGAGGGATGTCGTCGCCAGGCGAGGCTGCCGCGCGCCTGGCGCTGAAAGGCGCTCGTCGGATCGTGATCAAGGTACGGCATGCGCTAGGGTAGTAAACTTCGGGATCCATGGCTCGTTTTGAGCGTAATATCTCAGCATCCATCGTTCTGGCAACAATGTAGGTTCCTAGCTTAATCGTGAGGTCTGTTTTCTTATCATTTTCCTGCATTTTGTTTTCTCGACATTTTTCTGATTATCCTCCGCTTTTTCTTCCTTAACACCTCGCGCGCGTTCATACCCCCCACTTTCAAAATTTGTCTCAGGTGGGAACGGCTGTTGTGACGCGTTCAGACGGACGGCTCGCCCTCGGGCGAATGGGGTCGCTCTGCGAAGCGGTGAGCCATGCGATAATAATTATTTCTAGTTCATTTTAAATGCAGCCCTGACAGTAGAGTAGGAGTATGGCCTCATATTGCAGTTTCTGGTCCAGCGGTACTTGAACGAATGGAGACTTTCTGCGAAATGATGCATCATACAGTAAATACTTTGTGTCGAGTCTGTGAAAGTCTGTAGCAAGTAGAGAGAACAAAAGAAAATAGAAAATTAACGCAAGCGAATCAGAATAATGGCGTCGTTGCTTTTCAACCCTACTTTACTCTTCAAGCTAACTTCCACGTTTTTTTTCTTTGTACGAGCAGATTGAGACGCTCGTATCGGACGGCAGGGAGGTGATTCTGGTGACAAGTGGCGCGATCGGAGTGGGCCGGCACAAGCTGCGCTTCCAGCGGTTCATGCGCACGAGCTTCAAGGACCTGCAGCGCCCGCAGGGGGACGACATTGACGGCAAGCCGTGCGCGGGCATCGGGCAGGGCCAGCTCATGGCTCTCTACGAGTCGCTCTTCAACCAAGTGGACGTTGGTTGTGCTCAGGTATGGTCTATTGAAGGAGATTGTGAGGGGATTCAAGGTCTGCAAGGGTGGATAGGTAGGTAGGTCTGTGCTTGGTGCGAGGTGGGGAGAAAGGTTAGGAGAATTGGGTTTTGGAAGCGTTTCATGGTCACTGGGAGGGTTCCCACCGTGCATCCCTTCCCCACCCACCCCACACGCTCAACAGCTGTTGGTCACCGAGCAAGCGTGACTTGGCATATTTGGAGTTCCGCCACCAGCTGCACACCGCAGTTTCACCGCCTTTGTCCCATCTCGTCGCTCCCACCCATCCTGTGCCTCTGGCTCCTCAAGGCTCAAACCACCCTCCGCACTTCCCCCCATCCCACCCCAACAGTTGCTGGTCACGGAGCGTGACTTCACGAATTTGCAGTTCCGCAACCAGCTGCGCAGCTCCGTCTCGTCCCTGCTGGACCATGCGTCTAGTGCCTCAAGGCTCACTTCCACCACCCCCCTCACCTCCCTACCCCACTTACAGTTGCTGGTGACGGAGCGTGATTTCACGGACCTGCAGTTCCGCAATCAGCTGCGCAGCACAGTCTCCTCCCTGCTGGACCATGCCAACCCAAGGACTGACCCCATGCCACCCCACCCCCGCTCCCTCATCGCATCCCATGTGACAGTTGCTGGTCACAGAGAGGGATTTCACGGACCTGCAGTTCCGCAACCAACTGCGCAGCACCGTCTCCTCCCTGCTGGACCACCGCGTGGTGCCGGTTTTCAACGAGAACGACGCCATCTCCACCCGCGTTGCTCCCTACAAGGACGCCACTGGTGAGCTGGCTGGTTGTCTGGTCGGGTGAGGGAGAGCTATGCATGCACGCCCATTGCCCACCCATGCACAGCTTCATCAGCACCAGTGTCCTCCCTTCCTCCTGGTCCACCGTGTGGTGCGGGTGTTTAACAAGAGCGACGAGAATTCGACCTGCGTGACACCCTACAAGGACGCCACTGGTGAGCTGTGACCCGCTTGCTAGTGGAAGCACAGCCTCAGAAACACAGTATCTTGCCTGCTGGACCACCGTGTGGTGCCGGTTTTCAATGAGAACGACGCCATTTCGACCCGTGTTGCACTGTTCAAGGATGCGAAAGGTGAGCGGAGTGGTGTGTGAGTGAGAGCGGTCTGCAGAGCTGTATGCATAACACCGTGTGGTGCCGGCGTTCAACGTGAACAAAGCCATTTTAAACCGCATAACACCGTTCAAGGATGGGACAGGTGAGCTGGCTGGTTGTGTGAGGGGGACCGGCATGTATGCCCACCCACAGTCAGTAGAGTCAGCCTCCTCAAAGCAGTCAGTGTCCTCCCTTCTGGACCACCGCGTGGTGCCGGTGTTTAATGAGAACGACGCCATCTCGACTTGCAGGGCGCCATACAGAGATGCGGCTGGTGAGGTCTTAGTGATCTGCTTGCCGGTGGGGGTGGAAGGGCGGTTGTTAGTGCAATGCTGCCGCATGTTGATGTAAGGGAGTGATGTACGTCCAGAGACTCCTCCCTGCTGCTTGATTGGTGACCCTTCTCTTCCCTCTTCTCTCGCAGGAATCTTTTGGGACAACGACTCCCTTGCAGCTCTCCTATCTCTGGAGCTCCAGGCAGACGCGCTGGTGCTGCTGTCGGGCATCGAGGGGCTCTACACCAAGCCGCCCCACTCAACCCCTTAACCCCACCCCTCCGCACCCCTCCCCACCCATCCCTGCTCCCCCACTCGCAGGTATCTTTTGGGACAACGACTCCCTGGCGGCGCTCCTATCTCTAGAGCTCCAGGCAGACGCGTGTGTGCTGCTGTCAGACATTGAGGGGCTCTACACCAAGCCACCCTCTCCTCTTGACTGTCAATAAGAAGAGTCTCTCACTCCTTCCCTTTCTCACCCCTTTTGTAGGTATCTTCTGGCAGAACGATTCCTTGGCGGCTTTGCTGTCTCCGGAATTGCAAGCAGACGCGTGTGTGCTGCTGTCGGACATTGAGGGGCTCTACACCAAGCCACCCGTCTGCTGCTGTTGTCTGTTGATTCAGAAATCACCCATTTCCTTTCCCGTTTTCCCCGCTTTCGCAGGTATCTTCTGGGATAACGACTCCCTGGCAGCGCTGCTCTCTCTTGAGTTGCAAGCAGACGCGTGTGTGCTGCTGTCAGACATTGAGGGGCTCTACACCAAGCCACCCTCTCCCCCTCCCACCCCTCCCCTTCCTCCTCCCCCACCCTTCCCTTGTGCTCTCGCTGGCAGGTATTTTCTGGGACAACGACTCTCTTGCAGCTCTCCTATCGCTGGAGCTCCAGGCAGACGCGTGTGTGCCGCTGTCAGACATCGAGGGGCTCTACACCAAGCCCACTTTCCTCTCCCCCTCCCACCCCTCCCCTTCCTCCTCCCCCACCCTTCCTTTGTGCTCTCGCTGGCAGGTATCTTCTGGGACAATGACTCCCTGGCGGCTCTCCTCTCGCTAGAGCTCCAGGCAGACGCGTGTGTGCTGCTGTCAGATATCGAGGGGCTCTACACCAAGCCGCCCTGGGACCCTGACTCGGAGCTCATCCACACCTACGTGCCGAGCGTGCATGGAGATTCCATCAAGTGGGTATACAGGGTGGGTGAGGTGAAGATTGTGGAGGGTTTAGGGGTTAGGTGTTCGGTTTCAGGGCTCGAGGGTGCAAGAAGAATCCCACCAAGCCCCCCTGGGACCCTGACTCGGAGCTCATTCACACCTACGTGCCGAGCGTGCATGGAGACTCGATCAAGTAAGCTCAGTGGGTTAACAGGGGAGAGGCCTCAGTGTTCAGGGTTTAGGCGGGGTTTAGGGGTAAGGTCTGTCTGGGAAGCAATGCAAGCAGACACCAGCTGGCCGCCCCGGGACCCTGACTCGGAGCTCATCCATACCTACGTGCCGAGCGTGCATGGAGATTCCATCAAGTGCGTGTACCGGGTGTACAAGGAAGGAGAATCTAGAGCTTAGATCTCAAGAGTTGGGTTCAGGTGTGGGGTTTTGTGGCTTGGGATGCGAGCAGACTCGTTGGTAGCGCCCTGGGACCCTGACTCGGAGCTCATCCACACCTCCGCTCCCCCCAAATCTGCCAGGTTCGGCCAGAAGAGTCGGCTGGGTTGCGGCGGAATGACAGCCAAGGTGGAAGCAGCAATCCACGCATTCGGTAGCGGCGTGCCCACAGTGATCGCTGGCGGGCTGGTTTACTGACAGCCCTTCTCCCTCCCCACCCCACCCACCAAATCTGCCAGGTTCGGCCAGAAGAGTCGGCTGGGTCGCGGCGGCATGACAGCAAAAGTCGAAGCAGCAATCCACGCATCCGGAGGCGGCGTGCCCACAGTCATAGCCAGTGGTCTGTCAAGCGATGCGGTGCTGCGGGTGCTTTCAGGGGAGATGGTCGGCACGCTCTTTCACAAGGACGCTCATCTGTGGGCCGTGTCTAAGTCTGTCAAGAGCGCTGGCAGGGACATGGCTGTTGCTGCCCGGGACGCCAGCCGGAAGCTGCAGGTGAGGAGAGCTCTGTAGGTCAGGGGGCTTAGTTTGGGGGTGCAGGGTTTTTGGTCGAGTGGTGAGGCACAGGGGTGCCCACAGTCATTACCAGTGGCCTGTCGAGCGATGCGGTGGTGCGAGTGCTGGCGGGGGAGATGGTCGGCACGCTCTTCCACAAGGACGCTCACCTGTGGGCCGTGTCTAAGAGCGTGAAGAGCGCTGGCAGGGACATGGCTGTTGCTGCCAGGGGTGCCAGCCGGAAGCTGCAGGTGAGGAGGGTGTGGTGGGTGGGGTTGAGGGTTTGGCATTCGAGCAAGGCGCTGCTTCGAGTGCTTTCAGGGGAGATGGTCGGCACTCTCTTCCACAAGGACGCTCATCTGTGGGCCGTGTCTAAGTCTGTCAAGAGCGCTGGCAGGGACATGGCTGTTGCTGCCAGGGGTTAGGGTTTTAGGCTAGTGGTTAACCCCACCCCGCCTCCCATCCCCGACTCTGCTATTTAGGCTCTGACCCCGGAGCAGCAGAAGCAAGCATTGTGTGTGTACCCCCACCCGCTCCTCCACCCCATCCCATCCCCCAACCCCTCCGCTGCTGCTATTCGGGCTCTGACCCCAAAGCAGCGCAAGCAGGTTCTCTTAGATGTGGCCGATGCACTGGTGAAACGAGAGGCTGATTTCCCAACCCCATTCCCAACCCCATTCTTAACCCCCTTCCCTACTCCACTTCCAGGCTCTGAGCACGGAGCAACGCAAGCAGGTGTTGTTGTACGTGGCGGATGCGCTGGTGAAGCGAGAGGCGGAGATTGGCCTTTTCCGCATTCCACTAAGCTATCTTGGTAGCCTCCTTTCCCCACCGTGACCCCATCCACAGGCTCTGACTACAGAGCAGCGCAAGCAGGTTCTTTCGGATGTGGCGGATGCGCTGGTGAAGCGAGAGGCGGAGATCGTGGAGCAGAACGCCCACTTGCCAATAAATTTTCCGCCGCCTCCCCACCCCTGCCCCACCGTTTCCAACCCCTCTCCTGCTATCCAGGCTCTGAGCACGGAGCAGCGCAAGCAGGTGTTGCTAGACGTGGCGGATGCTCTGGTGAAGAGAGAGGCGGAGATTGTGGAGCAGAACGCCCACGACGTACGGACGTCTGAGATCAACGGCGTTGCACCGGCGCTGCTGCAGCGGCTGAAGCTGAAACCGAATAGGGTGAGTTGAGGTTGAGAGAGAACGAGCGGGTGAGTGGAGGGGAAGGAATAGAATGAGCGAACAGAACGCTCACAATGTTCCCGGCGGCTGAGGTCAACCGCGTTGCACGGCCCTGCTGCAGCGGCTGAAGCTGAAATCTAAATGGGTGAGTGGATGGCAAAAGGAGAGAGTGAGTGGAGGCGGGCAAGGGAGTGTCCACCTGGTGGGAACCAGACTCTTGCTCTGATTCCGTCCATTCTCAGCTGCTATTGCAGGGCATTTCAATCGACGTATGGCTGAAAGGCCAAACTCCCTCATCTGCACCACTGACTCATGCCCCTCCCGCCCCCTCCCCCCTCCCCCCACCCGTCCACTCTCCCTCCCGTCTCTCTCATCTATCGCCGTCCTTAATTGCCTTGCAGATTCAACAGCTAGCAGAGGGCATTCGGGCGATTGCTGAGATGCCTGATCCGATAGCAGAGACGCTGGCTCGCACAGAGGTGCGTGGGTGTGGTGGGGGAGGGAGCGGGAGGGAGGGGGAATGGGGTTTGCGGGAACGGATGTCATGGTGTTTCACTGTGCTGCATGCAACAGTGATGCCTGACCTGACCCGATATCAGACATGCTGTCTCGAGCAAAGTCGCTGGCTCTATTCCCCGTTTCTTCCATCCAAAGCCAGCAGGGCAGAGGGCCCTTTCTCACCTGCTCTCGCTCCCATCTCTCTTTTCACGCACTGCCCTTGCATTGCCGTGCGCAGCTAGCAGAGGGGCTGAACAAATGAATCGACTCAATAGTTTGCTCTCATTTTCCTTCTCACTCTCTGCCCTTGCGTTTTATGTTCGCAGCTTGCAGAGGGGCTGAACCTGGAGAAGCAGAGGTGGCCACTGGGAGTGCTGCTGGTGATCTTTGAAGCTCGCCCTGACGCCATGCCGCAGGTGAGAATTTGCATACGGATACCATGTGCAATGCCGCAGGTGAGAGGGGTGATGCCACGTCAGCACATCTACCCTGGCATCGTTTTTGCTGCTGAGAGCATGCCTATCCTCTGTTGTCGTTTTCTCAGGAACAAGCAATGTCTCTCCCACCATCTTGTTCCCTTGTGGCTTCCCAAGCGGCCTGCTTACAAGGAAAGGGAGGCCGCATAATCTCTTTCTTCTCCCTCCTCCCTCCATTTCCTTCTCCCCCATCTCTCCCACCGCCCATCCCTGCGCTGGCCTTCTCAGATTGCAGCGCTGGCGATTCGCAGCGGCAACGGGCTGCTGCTCAAGGGAGGCAAGGAGGCACTCAACTCCAACCGCATCATCCACGAGGTGAGCTCCACGCGTGTGGTAACCAGATGCCAGTGGTAACCATTGTGAGATAATTAATGAAATACTAGAGTCTGAGGCCAGCTAAGTAAGCCAACATGAGTGATCCATGGGAGTATACAGTTATTGGTGGTATCATAACCTTAAATCGCTGCAGCTACTCAGTTGGTACTCAGTTGATCATACACTATGCCCCAGGTGATTGCCTCCGCCCTGCCACCGGAGGTGGGCCCCTCACTTATTGGCCTCGTCACTTCACGCGACGACATCTCGGATCTGCTGAAGCTGCTTCCCTCCTGTCTCACTCACCCCTCCATATCTCCGTCCCACTGCTAACAGGTGATCGCCTCAGCACTCCCCCCAGAAGTCGGCCCCTCACTCATAGGCCTCGTCACTTCACGCGACGACATCTCGGATCTGCTGAAGCTGGACGACGTGATCGACCTGGTGATTCCGCGCGGCAGCAACGCGCTGGTGAATCATATCAAATCGCACACCAAGATTGCGGTGCTGGGCCATGCGGATGGCGTGTGCCACGTGTACGTGGACAAGGCAGCCAACCTCAAGATGGCCAAACGGATCATTCTCGACGCCAAGATGGACTACCCTGCTGCTTGCAACGCCATGGTGAGCGGTAGGGAGAGGGAGAAAAAGGGGAGAGGGGATTGGAGGGAGGGAGTGGGTGGGGGGAGGGGGGGGGGCACGAGGGAGTGGGAAAGTGGTGGGGAAGGGAGGGAGGAAGGGAGGGAAGGAGAGGGTTTAGAGGGCAGGGAGGGGCCATGCGGATAGCGTGTGCCACGTGTACGTGGAGAAGGCAGCCAACCTCAAGATGGCCAAACGGATCATATTGGATGCTAAGATGGACTACCCGGCTGCCTGCAATGCGATGGTGAGATATGCAGCTTAGTTGTTTACACATGTGGCAAGGGGGATGCCAAACGGATCGTGCACAATGCCAAGATGGACTACCCCGCTGCCTGCATCGCGATGCTGTGATACACAATGCATGAAATATTTTCATCCATACGATTGGATGCATTTGTTCCCGTTTGTTGCACCCTTCACAGAAAGCTCCTCTAAATGATGGGGTAATGCGTCATATGTCTCATGTGCTTGTTTTTTCAATTTATTTCCTTGTGCTGTACCCGTTATAGGAAACCCTGCTACTCCACGAGGAGCTGGTGAAGTCGGGAGCTGCAGCGGAGCTCATTCAAGAGCTCAAAGACAATGGTGAGTTCATAGCAACACTTATGGAGTTCTGAGTTGGCTCGACAATGGGACGTATAGCACTGATGGAAATACCCATTTGGAGTAATTCCATAAGCACATTGCAATGTGTGCAAAAACAAGCGTAGTGGTATTCCTGTATATCATCGCACTCCCTACCTCACTGCCTCTTTCCCTTCCCTACACAGGCATAGTCCTTCCTGCAGGCGCGGCCGCGGCTTCTCCCTTCTCCCTGCCTCAGGCCCCCACCTTGCATCACGAGTACGGGTCGCTGGAATGTACGGAGGAGACTGATGTGTGTTCCTGTGGATCCACCCTTTCTCCCCACCTGTATGCAGGCATAGTCCTTCATGCAGGCACGACCGCAGCCCCCACCTTCTCCCGCCTGCAGCAGCGAAATCTCCACCACGAGTACGGGTCGCTGGAATGTACGGTGGAGATCGTGCCAGACAGTGGGAGTTCCCTGCTTATCAGTGTGTCTCGTGTCCCTTCCACCCCATTCTCCCCACCTGCATGCAGGCATAGTCCTTCATGCGGGCACGACTGCAGCGCCTGCCTTCTCCCTGCCTCCGGCAGCGAATCTGCACCACGAGTACGGGTCGCTGGAATGTACGGTGGAGATCGTGCCGGACATTGACGCGGCCATCCACCACATCCACACGCACGGCAGCGCGCACACCGACGCCATCGTCACCGAGGACCAGGAAGCCGCAAAGAAGTTTCTGGCGTCGGTGGACAGTGCGGTCGTGGTGCACAACGCCAGCACTCGCTTCTCCGACGGCTTCCGCTTCGGGCTCGGCGCCGAGGTGAGTTGGATGGGAGCGGAGAGTGGGGAGGGGAGATGCTAGGGACTGTTGTGCTGCAAGACAATGCTTCTCCGACGGCTTCCGCTTCGGGCTCGGCGCCGAGGTGAGATAACAAGAAGAGAGAAAGAGTAAACATATGTTTGCTAAATTGACATCTTCGGGCTCGGGCGCCGAGGTGAGGGGAGAGGGGGAGAGAGGGGGGCTTGGGGACTAGTAGAATAGAGACAGGGTTGCTTTCAGAGGGCCTTTGCATCGAGCTAATTTCTGCCCTCCTGCACTTTCTCTCGTGCAGGTGGGCATCAGCACGAGCCGCATCCATGCGAGAGGGCCTGTCGGGGTGGAGGGGCTCCTCACAACGCGCTGGTTGCTGAGAGGTGACGGGCATCTGGTCAACAAGGATAAGGATATCGTCTACACCCATAAAGCACTCCCTATAATTGAGTAGAAAATGCATCGTGTTACATAATGATGAGTAGTGGGATCTAGTTACCTCAACTAGGTGCTGAGGGGTGCAAACAGGTGCTAGAGTGGCGTTATGGACACCCAAAAATGCCCTTCTTCTGAATTAGTGGAATGTCACACTTCAACTGACCAGTGCACTGGTAGCTCTGGACGATTTTCTTACCACTTTTTCTTGATGCGCTTTCCTTTGAAGTGTTGAGCTGCCTGTACTGTACACAGTACCGAGCTCGCTCTTACGCTGTACAAGCTTCCCACTCGTGAATTTGGCGAGAAAGTCTGGATGCATGCTCTCGACCTTCAGTTCACTCGTTCGTTTCCGGACGAGGTTGCACATCCATTCTTGGAGAGATCGACGGTTCGAAACGCATTCGAGTCTGTCCATACCGCGTACAAATCCAGAATTCACCAATTTAGAAAGCTTGCTTTCTTGCATGTAGCAATTGGCATCGTCTCATTTCAAATGGGTTTAGTACAATTGAAATCCATAGTGATATTACAAAGATATGCCTCTATGTTCCTAAGGCTATCCTGTTTCCGAGGGGGGGGGGGGGCGGGAAAATCGGCTAAACCGTTTGAAAATGAGAGACGTGGGTGGAGGGAAATGACCTCCAGCCCACGTTTTGTACTCCAAAACGGGCGTTTAGCGCGGTTCGACGCTGCCAAATCCTACATTACAAGCAGCTTCGCTTTCAAAATACATAATTTTGAAAAGCGTTACAGCTTTTAAAAATATACATTTTTTGAGTTCAGTGGGAGTGGCGCATGCACAGCTGAAACGGCTTTGTAGCACACGTGTAGCTACTTGTTGCTACTACTCCTCTCGTCGGGAAGGCTACGAGCCGTGTGATATCCTAGCACTACTAGCCATGGCTGCTTCCGTCGCCTCTTCCTCCGCCGCCATTTTGACGAATCAAGGGGCTCGGTTAATCGCGCGCGCAATTTCTTCGTCGAAGTGCGTTCGTTTCCTTACTAAGCAGTTTCCGTATTCTCTCTCGTTACCTCGAGTTACGCGTTTATCGCACCGCGTTTATCGCGAAGCTTTCCCGCGTGCCTTTTTATCTGAATCGAGAGTTCGCATCGTGGCATGCCACGTGTCAATATTATATTTTTCGTCTTCCATCTACTGTGTTCCGTCCCTTCATTCGTGTCACCCTGCCATGTAGGACCTTATCCGGCGCCTCCCTGAGTGCCGATCGCGTGCCTCTGCCACGTGTCACAACGCGAGGGATTTACGGCAAGGCCAGGCTGGCAGTGATGGCTCAGGCTAAGATCGCAGCAGCGGCAGCGGCAGCGGCGGCCACGGAACCTCTGAGTGCGGGCTCGCCCCCTCCTGCTCTCTTTGACGGCACCACGCGGTGAGTTTTAGTAGGTCAACGCAAGTCAACGCCAGTCATGGCAAGGCCAGGCTGGCAGCTATGGTTCAGGCTATGGTTCCAGCAGCGGCATCGGCGGCCGCGGAGCCTCTGAGTGCGGGATTGCCCGCTCCTGCCCTCTTTGACGGCACCACCGGTGAGTCAACGCAGGTCAACGCAGGTTAACGCAATCCAAGAGGGACGTGGCGGCCACGGAGCCTCTGAGTGCGGGATCGCCGCCGCCTGCCTTGTTTGACGGCACCACGCGGTGAGTCAACGCAAGTCAACGCTAGCCACCGCAATTCAATAGGGACGTGGCGGCCACGGAGCCGCTGAGTGCGGGATCGCCCGCTCCTGCTCTCTTTGACGGCACCACACCGTGAGCATTGGTCAGTCAACGCAGGTCAACGCTATTCAACAGGAAGCTTGGTTGCTACGGAGCCTGAGTGTGGAATCGCCCGCTCCTGCTCTCTTTGACAGCACCACGCGGTGAATTGGACAACAGTGAATGGGACATAGCCAACACATGTCGACGGTAGCCAACTCTCAGGTTCAAGCAACTATAGCCAATGGCCCATCAGTTCAGCGACCAATTACAAGAATCCTCCCTTATCCCCGTTTCCCTTGCCCCCCTCCAGCCTATACCACTACAAGGCGTGTCCCTTTGCTCAACGGGCAGTGATTGCCGTCAACTACAAGGTGAGCTGCCTGAAAATGTTACTTATAGTAACTAAAGCTTCCAATTAATTACTATTATATTATTTTTTAAGAGCAATTTCATTACAGCATATAATCTTTCTACCAATGTGTACTCCTCTCCACGTATCTCCTCATCCTAACAGGGTCTTGATTTTATCGAGCGAGTGGAGATCAGTCTTCGCAGCAAACCTGAATGGTAAGCACACACTGGATGATTCTTCTTGGTATATCAGTCCCTTGCTGCTGCTGCTGCTGCTGCCGTGGCTGCTGGTTACCACATGGGTCCCACCAATTACCCACAGGGTCTTGATTTCATCAAGCGAGTGGATATTAGTCTTCGCAGCAAGCCTGAATGGTATGCCCTGCACACTGGATGAAAGTCTTGTTTCAAGTGTGTGGAAACGTGATTGCCGGCACTTACGGAACAGCTTTTGAGTCGCGTCAAGAATGGTACGCTCGCACTGGATGAGAGTTTCGTTTCTATTGTGTGGCAACGTGGTTGCTGGCATTTGAGAAACAGAGGCCTGCGCGATTTTTCAAACATCTCCCTAGCAATCTAGCACGGAAGTTGGTGTAACAGGGGCTTGGATCGTCTATGGCTGCTGCTGATTCTTCTGGTCATATCACTTGAAATGATTTGGTGTCATCGGTTATAATATCACCACACCCCACCCACTCCCACAGGTACACGGAGAAGGTGTATCCGCCAGGCAAGGTGCCTGCCATGGAGCATGCAGGGAAGGTGGTGGGGGAGAGAGCTTGGACCTGCTGCTGCTGGTTACCACATAGGTCTCACTGGTTACCATGCCTATCCGCCCTGCCCCTTCCACCCACACCCCTCCCCCCCCACCCACCCACTCCCACAGGTACACGGAGCAGGTGTATCCGCCAGGCAAGGTGCCTGCCATGGGAAGGCGGTGGGTGAGAACCTGGAAGCCTCTGAGACAGCTGCCGCTTCTGGTTACCATGTTACTGGTTTGATAATCTCCACTCCCCTCCCACCCACTCCCACAGGTACACGGAGCAGGTGTATCCGCCAGGCAAAGTGCCTGCCATGGAGCACGCAGGGAAGGTGGTGGGGGAGAGCCTGGATCTGCTTCTGCTGATTGATGAATGGTTCGGTGACAAGGGGCCGAGGATTGTTCCTGAGGTGAGTACAAGTTGAGGTTATTTGCTACAACGGAAGGTGGTGGGAGAGAGCTTGGACCTGCTTCTCCTGCTGATTGATGAGTGGTCGGGCAACAAGGGACCGAGGATTGCGCCTGAGGTGAGTACTGGCAATACGTACAGGGTATGTGGTACAAGAGAAGGGAATCTGAGGCAGTAGGTCTTGGGGGAGAGCTTGGACCTGCTGCTGCTGATTGACGAGTGGTTCGGTGACAAGGGACCGAGGATTGTTCCTCCTGAGGTACGGACTGGCATGGGAACAGTGTGGGTTTTGTGTCACGAGCGAAGGGGATCGGAGGTGGTGGGGGGGAGCTTGGACCTGCTTCTGCTGTTGATTATTGAGTGGTTCGGTGACAAGGGACTGAGGATTGTACCCGAGGTTAGTACAAGTTCAGGTTATGTGCTTAAAGGGAAGGGAGCTGGTCTGATAGACAGTGGGGGAGAGTTTAGACCTGCTGCTGCTGATTGACGAGTGCTTCGGTGACAAGGGACCGAGGATGGTTCCTGAGGTGAGTAGTGGCGTTCGTATAGCGCTTTGGGTGCTAGGCATGGGAAGGTGAGAAAACGATTTGGATCTGCTGCTGCTGATTGACGAGTGCTTTGGTGACAAGGGACCGAGGATTGTGCCTGAGGTTAGTACAAGTTGAGGTTATTTGCTACAAGGGAAGGTGGTGAGGGGGGGCCTGGACGTGCTTCTGCTGCTGATTGATGAGTGGTTCGGCGACAAGGGGCCAAAAATTGTTCCTGAGGTGAGTAGTGGAATGGCATGGCAAGGCAAGGCAACAAATGCAGGTTCTGTGCAGCAGATGAGGACACCATGATTTCTGAGTCGACTCAAAAGGTTCTGTGCAGCAGATGAGGACACCATGATTTCTGAGTCGACTCAAAAGGTTCTGTGCAGCAGATGAGGACACCATGATTTCTGAGTCGACTCAAAAGGTTCTGTGCAGCAGATGAGGACGCCATGATGGCTGGGGACTCTGCTCTCTCCCACCTCTGCATATTCCTCCCACCTCTGCATATTCCTCCCACCTCTGCATATTCCTCCCACCTCTGCATATTCCTCCCACCTCTGCATATTCCTCCCACCTCTGCATATTCCTCCCACCTCTGCATATTCCTCCCACCTCTGCATATTCCTCCCACCTCTGCATATTCCTCCCACCTCTGCATATTCCTCCCACCTCTGCATATTCCTCCCACCTCTGCATATTCCTCCCACCTCTGCATATTCCTCCCACCTCTGCATATTCCTCCCACCTCTGCATATTCCTCCCACCTCTGCAGATTCCTCCCACCTCTGCAGATTCCTCCCACCTCTGCAAATTCCTCCCACTGTGTGTGTAACCAGGACCCCGCCCTGGCAGCAGAGGCATCAGCACTTGTAGCAGCGTGGGGCGATATGATGATGGCTGGATACTCGTCTCTCTCCCACTTCCACCCCTCCCTCCCACTGTGTGTGTATTTACTGCTAACCTCACTGCAGGATCCCGCCCTGGCAGCAGAGGCATCAGCGCTTGTAGCAGCGTGCGGGGACTTGATGATGGCTGGATACTCGTCTCTCTCCCACCCACCTCTATCACACCCCTCCCACTGCGTGTGTTCTCTCTTCACCTGCCTGCCTACCCCAATGCCAGAATGCATGCAGGATCCTGCTCTAGGAGCAGAGCCTGCTCTATCACACCCCTCCCACTGCGTGTGTTCTCTCTTCACCTGCCTGCCTACCCCAATGCCAGAATGCATGCAGGATCCTGCTCTAGGAGCAGAGCCTGCTCTATCACACCCCTCCCACTGCGTGTGTTCTCTCTTCACCTGCCTGCCTACCCCAATGCCAGAATGCATGCAGGATCCTGCTCTAGGAGCAGAGCCTGCTCTATCACACCCCTCCCACTGCGTGTGTTCTCTCTTCACCTGCCTGCCTACCCCAATGCCAGAATGCATGCAGGATCCTGCTCTAGGAGCAGAGCCTGCTCTATCACACCCCTCCCACTGCGTGTGTTCTCTCTTCACCTGCCTGCCTACCCCAATGCCAGAATGCATGCAGGATCCTGCTCTAGGAGCAGAGCCTGCTCTATCACACCCCTCCCACTGCGTGTGTTCTCTCTTCACCTGCCTGCCTACCCCAATGCCAGAATGCATGCAGGATCCTGCTCTAGGAGCAGAGCCTGCTCTATCACACCCCTCCCACTGCGTGTGTTCTCTCTTCACCTGCCTGCCTACCCCAATGCCAGAATGCATGCAGGATCCTGCTCTAGGAGCAGAGCCTGCTCTATCACACCCCTCCCACTGCGTGTGTTCTCTCTTCACCTGCCTGCCTACCCCAATGCCAGAATGCATGCAGGATCCTGCTCTAGGAGCAGAGCCTGCTCTATCACACCCCTCCCACTGCGTGTGTTCTCTCTTCACCTGCCTGCCTACCCCAATGCCAGAATGCATGCAGGATCCTGCTCTAGGAGCAGAGCCTGCTCTATCACACCCCTCCCACTGCGTGTGTTCTCTCTTCACCTGCCTGCCTACCCCAATGCCAGAATGCATGCAGGATCCTGCTCTAGGAGCAGAGCCTGCTCTATCACACCCCTCCCACTGCGTGTGTTCTCTCTTCACCTGCCTGCCTACCCCAATGCCAGAATGCATGCAGGATCCTGCTCTAGGAGCAGAGCCTGCTCTATCACACCCCTCCCACTGCGTGTGTTCTCTCTTCACCTGCCTGCCTACCCCAATGCCAGAATGCATGCAGGATCCTGCTCTAGGAGCAGAGCCTGCTCTATCACACCCCTCCCACTGCGTGTGTTCTCTCTTCACCTGCCTGCCTACCCCAATGCCAGAATGCATGCAGGATCCTGCTCTAGGAGCAGAGCCTGCTCTATCACACCCCTCCCACTGCGTGTGTTCTCTCTTCACCTGCCTGCCTACCCCAATGCCAGAATGCATGCAGGATCCTGCTCTAGGAGCAGAGCCTGCTCTATCACACCCCTCCCACTGCGTGTGTTCTCTCTTCACCTGCCTGCCTACCCCAATGCCAGAATGCATGCAGGATCCTGCTCTAGGAGCAGAGCCTGCTCTATCACACCCCTCCCACTGCGTGTGTTCTCTCTTCACCTGCCTGCCTACCCCAATGCCAGAATGCATGCAGGATCCTGCTCTAGGAGCAGAGCCTGCTCTATCACACCCCTCCCACTGCGTGTGTTCTCTCTTCACCTGCCTGCCTACCCCAATGCCAGAATGCATGCAGGATCCTGCTCTAGGAGCAGAGCCTGCTCTATCACACCCCTCCCACTGCGTGTGTTCTCTCTTCACCTGCCTGCCTACCCCAATGCCAGAATGCATGCAGGATCCTGCTCTAGGAGCAGAGCCTGCTCTATCACACCCCTCCCACTGCGTGTGTTCTCTCTTCACCTGCCTGCCTACCCCAATGCCAGAATGCATGCAGGATCCTGCTCTAGGAGCAGAGCCTGCTCTATCACACCCCTCCCACTGCGTGTGTTCTCTCTTCACCTGCCTGCCTACCCCAATGCCAGAATGCATGCAGGATCCTGCTCTAGGAGCAGAGCCTGCTCTATCACACCCCTCCCACTGCGTGTGTTCTCTCTTCACCTGCCTGCCTACCCCAATGCCAGAATGCATGCAGGATCCTGCTCTAGGAGCAGAGCCTGCTCTATCACACCCCTCCCACTGCGTGTGTTCTCTCTTCACCTGCCTGCCTACCCCAATGCCAGAATGCATGCAGGATCCTGCTCTAGGAGCAGAGCCTGCTCTATCACACCCCTCCCACTGCGTGTGTTCTCTCTTCACCTGCCTGCCTACCCCAATGCCAGAATGCATGCAGGATCCTGCTCTAGGAGCAGAGCCTGCTCTATCACACCCCTCCCACTGCGTGTGTTCTCTCTTCACCTGCCTGCCTACCCCAATGCCAGAATGCATGCAGGATCCTGCTCTAGGAGCAGAGCCTGCTCTATCACACCCCTCCCACTGCGTGTGTTCTCTCTTCACCTGCCTGCCTACCCCAATGCCAGAATGCATGCAGGATCCTGCTCTAGGAGCAGAGCCTGCTCTATCACACCCCTCCCACTGCGTGTGTTCTCTCTTCACCTGCCTGCCTACCCCAATGCCAGAATGCATGCAGGATCCTGCTCTAGGAGCAGAGCCTGCTCTATCACACCCCTCCCACTGCGTGTGTTCTCTCTTCACCTGCCTGCCTACCCCAATGCCAGAATGCATGCAGGATCCTGCTCTAGGAGCAGAGCCTGCTCTATCACACCCCTCCCACTGCGTGTGTTCTCTCTTCACCTGCCTGCCTACCCCAATGCCAGAATGCATGCAGGATCCTGCTCTAGGAGCAGAGCCTGCTCTATCACACCCCTCCCACTGCGTGTGTTCTCTCTTCACCTGCCTGCCTACCCCAATGCCAGAATGCATGCAGGATCCTGCTCTAGGAGCAGAGCCTGCTCTATCACACCCCTCCCACTGCGTGTGTTCTCTCTTCACCTGCCTGCCTACCCCAATGCCAGAATGCATGCAGGATCCTGCTCTAGGAGCAGAGCCTGCTCTATCACACCCCTCCCACTGCGTGTGTTCTCTCTTCACCTGCCTGCCTACCCCAATGCCAGAATGCATGCAGGATCCTGCTCTAGGAGCAGAGCCTGCTCTATCACACCCCTCCCACTGCGTGTGTTCTCTCTTCACCTGCCTGCCTACCCCAATGCCAGAATGCATGCAGGATCCTGCTCTAGGAGCAGAGCCTGCTCTATCACACCCCTCCCACTGCGTGTGTTCTCTCTTCACCTGCCTGCCTACCCCAATGCCAGAATGCATGCAGGATCCTGCTCTAGGAGCAGAGCCTGCTCTATCACACCCCTCCCACTGCGTGTGTTCTCTCTTCACCTGCCTGCCTACCCCAATGCCAGAATGCATGCAGGATCCTGCTCTAGGAGCAGAGCCTGCTCTATCACACCCCTCCCACTGCGTGTGTTCTCTCTTCACCTG